CAAATTAAAAAATTAAAATGGATAAATTTATCAATAAAATTAAAAAATTTTAATCCGTCAACGATTTAATACAAAAAGTTACATAAAGGACCTGTTTGGTATAACAGTTTTTAATTTGCTCCTAAAAATTATGATTCTTTTAATTTTCTACATAAAGAATGAAAATGATGTAAAATCAAATACAATCTTATAAAACTCATCTAAATATCAATAATATCAAGGCCAAAATTTCACATTAATATGTATATAAATTTAGTTTATCAAATTCCCCCAAACTTAAGTTTTACTAGTCCTCAAGTAAAAAAAAAAAAAAAAAACAAATAAACAAAAAGAAAATAAAACCTAATTCACTTTCGTAACAATCATGATTGCATTTAGCATATGCAACAAACTTTTAAATCCAAGTCACCCTAATGGATGAGTTATGTCTCATGAGGGTTTTCAATGGATCTACCCATAAAATCTCAATATAAGAATGCAATTACATGATATGCACGCAAAGAAAATTCAAAAATTAAAATTCAACTAAATACAAAGTTTCAAATATTTAAGAGTTCTTACACACTCACTCAAAATCAAATACTTCATCCTATTCTTCACATCACTCCTCAAAAATTTAGCTTGTGAACACTTTGTGTCTGTGTGAAAATTTTTAATAAGAAGTTTCGAATTTAGACCTTTACATTTTAGCTATTATTATTATTATTATTATTATTACTATTTTGACTTGAGTTCTCTTAAGCTTTCTAAGTTACCTATCACATCGAATAAAATTATGTAAATTTAAGTAAAATCTCATAAAATTCATCTAAATATTAATAATATCAAAACAAAAACTCCACGTTAATATGCATATAAATTCAGCTCATAGTTTAATGATTAAATTCTTATCATGTGCTATGAGGAGTCTCAAGAGAGCTCAAACAACCTCTTTCATTCTAGTATCTCTTGTAGCGGTGTTGCTATGCTAGCCCAAGCAAAAGCAAGCTTTCGTTCTAAAGGGAAATGGGAGGAAAACCTTTGTCTTAAATGGGTTTCTTGGCCATCAAGTTTTCTTCAAGCGCCCTACTTTTCATAGCATGGGGATTACAAGAACAAACATCCTTTTTTAGGAAGTTACCAAGTCGCCTTTTTTTAATTGCTTGCATTTGGCACTCCGAACATTTATGTGAGTTTTTTAAGTTGTTACCTATGACAGTTGTGTTTGTGCCTAGATAAACAAAATCAACTGCTAAAAAGATTGAATGAATGATGTGGACCAGAAAGAGATGAATAAACAACCTATTTAAAACTAAATGCATTGATGACCATATGATGGACTAGCCTTTAGCAAATAAAGCTTAAGAATAAAACTTGGCTATTTCAGGATAGGTTTTGGATTTTCTTTTCTAGAAGCTAAGAAGCAAAATGATGCTCCATTATCAAGATCAAATAATATATAAGGTTGTTTTTCTGTTAACATAATTATGCTTGTGATGTTATGCCAATGTCATGCAAAGTTTTTGTTTTCTGTTTGTAGCGATAAGGGGTTTTTGATGTTGATTCTTTGAGGGATGAGGGTTTGTGATGTTCATATTTTGTTCATTTTCAAATTTAAGTTCTTGGATTGCAAGAGTTGGGCGGTGATTTGATAGTATATTAAGCTAGGCTAGGTTCTGAGTAGGGATGTCAACGGGACCCCGCAGGACCGAGGAGTCCCTCCCCGTCCCCGCGGGAATTTTTAACGGGGGACAAATTTTGCCCTTCATCCCCGTTCCTTGCGCACCAATTAATATAAAAAAATAAATTTTTTACATATAATTAATTAATATTCAATTCTAATAAATAAAATTTTAAAATTTTAAATATAATTAATTAAAATTCTTTAAATATAAATTATCCAAACATGAATAAAGATCAACCTAACATAAATAACTAAAAGGTTAATAATATGTTGAATAAAATTGGATTAAATATAAATTTTATTGAATTAGATTTAGATTTGAAGGTTGAATTAAATTTAAAATAAAACTAATTTATATATTTTTTTAATTTTTCACGGGGATGGGAATCTTCATGGGACTCGCGGGGCAGGGAAAATTCCCCGTGAATTTTCACGAGGAGAAAATACTCTTCGTCCCCGCTCCACGGGGAGAAATATTCCTCTCCGTCCCGTCCCATTCCGTCCCCGTGGCGGGGATCCCCACAGGACCTCGCAGGGATCGGGGCAAATTGCCATCCCTAGTTCTGAGTGATTGGCTCTTTGACTTGTGTATTCCCAGTTGAATGCTTGATAGATCCTTGGTTCATGATGATTAAGAAATTCATTGCTGATATAAAAGCCACATTGCAAATTATAGTTCTAATGTGTTTTAAGGTTTTTCCACTAGAAATGAGGCATGCAGAGTTTTTCTTTCAAATGCATATGCTTGCAAGACAGTTGGAAGCCGAGACTGATTCTTCATCTAGAGTTGAATGCTGTCAGAGCCCACTGCAATGGGTTGTTCGAGCAATCCATACAAACCCTTCTAGTGCGAGATTATATTATATACTCTCCCAAAATGTGTGCAATTCTGGTCACTGTAATTTCTATCACTTTGCTCAACAAGTCATTACTAAATTTTTATTGTATTGAAATTACACTTCAACAGGAGAAAGATGGCTTAACCTCTGTCCAAGTGATAAATTAAACCAAGTGATCTATCTGGAGCTGCTCATAGACGTGGAACGATCAAGCTCATCAGAGGGATCCCAGTTGTACGAAGATGAAAGAATCTTGGAAAGTGTATTTAAAGCATCAGCGGTGGAGGGGCGAGCATTCAGATCATGAGCAACACAGTTTTTAGCCAGTTGTGCCATAGAGAAGGCCAGCTCCAGTGGGTATTCATGCTGGAGAGCAGGATCCATGAATCCTTCAAGCTTCTCTCTTACATTATCCCCTTCAAGCACCCTTTCTATAGATGCAGACAGCAACTCCCCCTCACCGTTCCTTTCAGCTGCTGCTGCTGCTTCCCGTCCAGACAGAAGCTCCAACATCACGACCCCAAATGCAAAAACATCCAACTTTGGTGTAATCACTCCGTTTTCAATGTACTCTGGAGCCAGATATCCTTGAGTCCCAACTACATGTCTGGTGAGTTGCAGTCCACCATCATTACCATTCTCTAAGGTTCTAGCTAATCCAAAATTGGCAATCTTGGCTCTGAAGTTTCCGTCCAAGAGAATGTTGCTGGTTTTCAAGTTCTTGTGGATATAGGGAGGGTTTGTGTAGTTATGGAGGTAATTGAGTGCATCAGCTACATCATATGCAATCCTAACTCTCTGCTGCCACGACAGGGTATGGGAAGCTTGATTCTTGTTTGATTGAAGCCAATCGCTTATAGAGCCATTCTCTGCATACTGGTACACAAGGTAAGAACTGCCTTCATGGAAGCAGAATCCAGAGAGGCGGATAATGTTGGTGTGATTGATCTTCTTGAGTAGATTGATCTCCGCAGATACATCCCCTTTCATCACCTTAACAGCAGCATCATCATCCTTGAAAGAAGCCCGGTAAACAGACCCCTTGATCCTATTTGTTTCATCGAAATTTCCGGTTGCAGCTTGGATGTCCCCGAATTTGTACAGGGTCAAGGATTCAATTTCATGTCGAATCCCTTGGGAAGATATAGAAGGAGGGAAATCTGATGAATCTGAGAATTTCCGGAGTTGAGGCGTCGGCAGTGGCGGCCTGGGTTCGAGGAGTGGCTTCGGTTTCCGAGAACGACGTTTGTTGAAGTAAAATAAAAACCCAAAGAGACCGAGGAGGATGAGCGAGCTGGCTGCCGCGGCGACACCCACGAACACCCATTTTTTGGAAGATTTGGATTCTCCAACTCCGGTGGGTGTCTGTGGAGGAGGAGGCGGGGGAGGGGAGGTCTGCTGCGATTCATTGATTTTGGGTTCTGCCCTAAGGGGAACGAGGATGGGTGTGGATGGATATATAACGTTACTACTGAGCTCGTTGGCATCGAATACGCTTTGCACTTCAGCGGTAAATTTCGCAGCAATTGTAGAAATGAAATCACCCGTGATGACCAGATAGGAGATCAAGTACTTGAAACCGGCGGCGCTCTGGGCAGAAGTGGGACAGGCACATCGAAGAGGAACGAGCAGCCTATTGCCCACCGTAAGAGCCCGGGGGTCATAGGGGTTCTGAGCCATCATGGCTTGGCAAGTGGTGAGACCCTGGTAGGTGTTGTTGGAGATGATCAAATAAGTATCGTTTACAATCACAGTGTAGGAGGAGTTGTACTGGTAGTAGTTACCGGAGCACGAACAGTTGACGGGGACAAGCACCAGCGTGTCGGAGGGGATGGTGGCGAAGTCGGAGGGGAAGTTGTTGAGGGAGACGATCTGGGTGGCGTTGGCGTTGAGGAGGTAGCCTATGGCGACGGCAGTGTTGTATGGAGGGGTGGAGCGGAAGGTGATATAGGAGGCGCATGATTTGTGGAGGCCGTTGCAGTAATATCCTTTGGTGAAGTTATCACTTTGCTCCGAGCAGTTCAGCTGCTTGTTGTTGAGGTAAGGTTGTTGGGCATGGCTGCCTCCCCATTGCAGCAGCACCGCCACCAAGAAGAATAATTTGAACAAGGCTGTGAGCTTCTCCACAGACGCCATACACAGAGGCAGGTGGTTGCCGATGGGGTAGGGATTAAAGAAAGAAGTGTCAAGCTCTTTATAGATTGGTCATTCGTTGGAGGACTTTGAATTCAACATTCAACGCGGTTCTCAGTCAAATTGTTGGGTATAAACCACCGCATAATTCCTTGCGCCAGTTGATATTTAAGAATTTCATTGCGAGTTGAGATATTTTGTATTTTTGTCTATGGAAAATGAACCGCGATCACCCTCCTCCCCAGTTAGAAGGAGAGAATGCATTGGACCAGGTCACACATTTAAAAGTCACCCTTCACTTTCATCTAAGAAATCAAGGCGATGGCCTAACTAGGTTAGGAACTTTCGCAGTAAATGTTTTTTCTTTGCATCCTTACACAGTGCATTGGACCGGGTAAGGCAACATTTAAAAGTCACCCTTGACCTGAGATGGAGGCGCAAACTCATTTACCAATCAAGGCGATGTCTTAGGTTAGGAACTTTCGCAGAAAATGTTTTTCTTTGCATCTTCATTCAACAAGTCATTCTGAGTTCGCGTTTCCCTTTTGGCAGAATGGTTTATCTAAACAAAAATGATTAAGAGGTAAATTTTATTATATAATTTTTTTAATGTAATTTTATATATTATTCAATAATTAATTTTTTATACATTACTTGAGACTTTGGTCTAACACTTGAAAATAATTTTTTTTTCCGCTTTTGGTAATGCAAGGATGAAAGGGTAATAAATATATTATAATTATAATATCCAGGGGTGGAGGCAGACATTTTTTTCAAGGGAGTCAAAATACAAAAATTTTCAAAGTTTAAAGGAGACTAAATAATTTTTCATATACTAATTTGTAAGATTTTCAAATTTCAAGGAGCGAGTGCCCCCTTGCACCCTCTAGTTCCGCCACTGATAATATCTATATATAATATGTTGATATGTAATTATTTTTTTATTTATACATTTATTTGTGTTATTATAATATAAAATTATTTAATATCACGTTATATTTATTTAATATTATATTATAATTATAAATTTATAATAATATATAATATTATTATAATTATAATATTTGTTTAGTAAAAATGAAAATGAAATGAATACAAAATGGAAGATAGATGGTGTGCATGGGATATTGCGTGTGTTTTCGAATTTGGTGGCCTGAAATGCCTCTAAACCCAAACCACACAAAGGGGGAGGGGGAAGGCCCACATTGAGAGAATGAAATTGTTTTTGTACAAGCCCGTTCGGTTCTGGGGAGCCTTTCTTCTTCTTCTGGCCATTATCTTTCACTTTGGGCTGAATAAGGTTCTTCGAAACCGGACGTCGGCACTCAGCGGAGCAGAAGAAGTGGGCTTTCAAGACATGCAGTGCTCACCGCTGCTTTCCTCACGACCTCCGCTTCCTGTAAAGGCCATCTACCGTCCCTCCCCTTCCGTCGACGATCGAACCCCCAGCTCCATGGCTGCTTCCGGACCCAAGTGGGCTCAGAAGACCATTACTCTCCCTCCCCACAAACGTGGTTGCCATCTTATTACCCCCAAGGTTTGCCATCCAATTTTTTTTTTTTTTTTTAAGTTTCCTTCAATCAATTTTTTTCCTATCTGATGCAATTCTGGAAATTTTTGTTATTATGCTGAATTGACTTTGATGTTTCAGTTTGTTGAAATTTTGAAACTATTCTAAAGTGGGGTTCTTTCAAGTTTAAATCTTTGATATATGTCTTGTATAGAGTTCTGCAATGTCCAAATTTTGAAGGGGTAGGAAGTAGGAACAAAGAGTGAGTGATTTTTTTTTTTTCTCTTTCAACAATAGAGTAATTTTTATTATTCCGCTAAGTTTGAGGATGGTTTTTAATAAAGTGGGATTTGTTGTTCTTAGTAGAGAATACTTTGTGGCCTTTTTGTGTCCATTCATAGGAGCAAACAAATCATTTCCTGAAAATCTGTTTTGCAAACTTTAAAAACTGATTTTGATTTACCTTGACAAGAGCAAGGCGTCGATTGCAGGCATTCCAATTGTTCCATAAGTTTATGTAATCATTGTTCCAAGATAAGCATGCTATTTGTAATATTTAGCACCATATGCCATGTCCAAACGATTTCTCATCCACTTTGTTTACCTTTTTTTATTAACTTTTTCTGCATCAGATAATGAAGGAAATTGGACAAGACTTATCAGAATTCAACTGTGGCCTCGCTCATCTTTTCTGTAAGTGGAATGAGCTGCGTCTCATTTTTCTCTTTAATCATTAAGTCTGTGAAACATTCTGTTTGACTGCTACTTGCATATCAAAATTAAACTCAACATCAATGTTGCAGTGCAACATACAAGTGCTTCCCTTACCATCAATGAGAATTATGACTCGGATGTTCGTGATGACACTGAAACATTCCTCAACAAGATAGTTCCAGAGGTAATTGTTTATTTTCATGAAGCGATGACTCAGGTGTTCTGATAAAGTGATGTTTCATTCCTTTCTTACTTGGAGGGTTTTACTTGATGGTTTATTATAATGTTTTCAGGGCAGATCTGCACCTTGGAAACACACATTGGAAGGTTAGTGTGGCATATGTTTGGGTTAGGCTTAGCAAGATTTATATTATTTTCATAAATCTCTTCTTCTATTTTAAAAACAAAGATTCAATCCTTCAAAATTACTTAAAACTTTCCATTTCAACCAAATTTTACCCGTCAAAGGCTGGCTCAAAGCAATTTACTAGGGTTAATATATGTGGCTTGAGTAGCTTATATCATTTCCCTTGTTTGAACCTATTTTACTCACCTTGTTCTTGTTATATTTGATGAAGATGATTTGCCATATAAATGTACGATTTAACATATAATCCCTGTCAGGTTACTTTCATTTTAATTTGTTCAGTTTCTGATGGTTGATCTTGAATTCTGCAGGCCCTGATGATATGCCAGCACACATTAAATCATCAATGTTTGGTTGTGCTCTCACGTGAGAATAGTTTTCTCAAGCATATCTAGAACTCTTTCCTTGGTCCATTATGGCTACAACTAGTTAGTGATTCTAAAGAATTATTGTGCAACTATTAGTTACCTTTCTTCCTCTTGTAATTTTTTGCAGAATTCCAATTACAAATGGGCTGCTAAACATGGGAACTTGGCAGGTGTGTGAACTGTTTGGATTCTAGAATTCTCCAAAATTTTATGTTATTAAGCTAGTTTTATTGGCATTTTGGAGAAATTTCTTAGAATTAACCAATCAGTTATAACGATTAGCAATGATTCATCACAGAAGCACTGCACTCCTTGACTTTCTGACATGTTACCTTTCTCGCTTTAGACGCACTGGTTAATTCATTTCACAACTGTTTAAACTGTGGTCGCGCAATTACATAGTTAACTTTTGTCTCTATTTCATCAATGTTATGCTTCAGGGAATATGGCTGTGTGAGCACCGTGATGCTCCCACACCACGCAAAGTTGTGGTCACCCTCAATGGCATCTGAAGTCCTGGAACATGAAGTAACTCAGTTTCTTTTTCTCTATAGAATTAAATATGCTGCTGTCCCAGAGATGGTTTTGTAATGATGGATGCCTTGCTTCACGGTGATAATGAGATGTTACTCACTCACTCACTTGAAGAACTTGGTTGCATGATGTATTGTTTGTTCTAACTTGAAAATCTTGTTATTCTTAAATTAAGATAAAACAAAGTTGAGAAGATTATTGAGGTATGCATAGTACATGCTATATATATATATATATATTTATATAATTGAAGTGTGAATGAAAGTTTGAATATCACTATTTACACTCGGATTATTGAAGCAGTCGCAGGTAACATAAATATATAAATGATAAATTAATGAATAAAAGAATTAAACAACCACAGTGAAATCAAGAGGAAGGTTCAGTTCAGGCCATCATGACTGTGAACTCGTCGAAGCTTAGAACGCCATCTCCATTGAGATCAAAGGCACGAATCATGGTCTTGCAATCGTCCACGGACCTGGACTCCCCTAATCTGCTCAGCGTCCTCCTCAAACTTGCTGGAGTTATGCAACCTAATCCATCCATCGTGTACATCCCAAAAGCCTCTCTCAGCTCCTTTTTCTTCTCCTCCTCCGTTGATTCTCCCCCCTCAATCATCTTCTGGAATTCATCAAACCCCAACAGCCCGTCTCCATCCTTATCTGATGATACGACTGCTGTTTCTGCCTCCTCCATTGATATCTCCCCCCCTAATGTCCTCACGCAGCTTTGCAACTCTGCTGCTGATACTTTACCGTCTCCGTCCTCGTCGAAAAAATCGAACACCCTTTGGAACTGAGTGTCGTTACTGCTGCACCCCCTTGCACTATCGGAACGGGACTCCACTGGAAGGTTATCCGGCTTCAATTTTGGAGATAGTTTCCGGCGCAACTTGCCGAATACTGATTTTGGTTCGATTGCATCAGATTTCATGGTATAGAATATCAAATATGAGTGTAGGTCGGTTTAGGAAAACTTGTGTTTGCTCAATTATGCTGAAGAAGTAGACTGGCGAGCTGTATATATATATATGGTTTCATGGGAAGAAGGAAATGATAAAGTAGAATTTTTTAACGCGATAAGGACAAAAATAAGAAGACAGGAAAGAAAAACGTGGCAGCGTTGAGTGAGATTTGTGTGGTTTACCAACACGGTTTGGGGGTGTGAGATAAACAGGTTTTTATTAGTTGGGTCTCCTTTCCGCCAGTTGTTTTGTATGGCGAAACTTCCTTCCTTCTCATCTGGACCTCTCCGGAAATATCCTGGGCCTCTCTGGAAATATCCTGGGCCTCTCCGGAAATATCCTGGGTCTCTCTGGAAATATCCTGGGCCTCTCTGGAAGTATCTGGCAGTCTCTTCTATCTTTAAAGTAGGATATATATGGTACTGTTATCAACAGGACTGTACGATCAGTCAAACCATGCGCTCGGCACTGACATCATAAACAATTTGTCATCCCTTCCGTCCGTCTTTGCTCATAAAACTTTATCCCCCCACCTTTTTATTTTCTGTCAATGATTTTCTTATTGTAATCAACATA